ACTGGAAGCCTGTGTCTCCCACTCTCTTTCACCCACTTTGCCCAACCCCCTACCCCTCCCCTTTGGCAACCACCAGCTTGTTCTCTGTATTTATAGGTCTGATTCTACTTTTTGTTTATTCATTTGTTTTGTTTTTTAGATTTCACATGAGTGAAATCATATGGTATTTGTCTCTCTCAGTCTGACTTATTTCACTTAGCATATTACCCTCTAGGGCCATCCATATTGTTGCAAGTGGAATAAGCTTATCCTTTTTATGGCTACATAATACTTCAGCGCGCGCCTGCGTGCGTGCGTACGCGTGTGTGTGTATGTGTTTGTATACATATACCACATCTTCCCTTTCCATCCTGTATTGATGGACACTTAGGTTGTTTCCGTATTTTGGCTATTGTAAATAATGCTGCAATAATATAGCAGTACATACATCTTTTCAAATTAGTATTTTGTTTCCTTTGGGTAAATACCCAGTAGTGGAATTATTGGATCATATGGCATAGAAAGAACGATTATTGGGCGCCTGGGTGGCTCAGTTGGTTAAGCAACTGCCTTCGGCTCAGGTCATGATCCAGGAGTCCCGGGATCGAGTCCCACATCCGGCTCCCTGCTCAGTGGGGAGTCTGCTTCTCCCTCTGACCCTCCACCCTCTCATGCTCTCTCTCTCAAATAAATAAATAAAATCTTTAAAAAAAAAACCATTATTAACATTGTTTCACAAAATCTCCCTTTGTATATTTACAAATAGGGATAAATTTACAAAAAAGGCTTATATAATATGTACTGCAGATATATGGCTATTTATATATTTTTATTTTAAAAAATTTTATTTTTTTACTTGAGAGAGAGCACAGAGGGAGAGTGAGAGGGAGAAGCAGACTCCCCACTGAGCAGAGAGCATGACGCGGGGCTCGGTCCCAGGACCCCAAGATCATGACCCAAGCCGAAGGCAGATGCCTAACCAACTGAGCCAACCAGCCACCCCCGTATATTGTCATTTAAATTTAACAGACGGAATTGAAGCTGAAGCAAATTATTAAACTTTAGTAAAATGCTCTTTTGTAAGATAGATTAGTTCCTATAAGTCCCTTTAAAGTTTTGCGAAAAGATTATGAATAGCACTAAGAGGCTGGAGGTCTACGTAGTTAACGCTTAAAAAGTATTGGAGATAAGAAAGGAGCTACTTTAACTGCTTAGAAGCAGCTTTTATCTAGATACTAGAACTGCTTGAGGTAAAGTATAATATTATTAAGTGTGTCTTTATCGGTTGCAAGGAATCTCAGAGGACCCTGAATTGAGTGTCCTATTCCATTCTCTGCTGTGTATGGCAAAGGCATGGTTCAGAGTACGGCTTTGGGGTTAGGGTTAGGAACCATGTGGCCACAGGCCTCAGTCTCATCTCCTGCAAAAAACTGGGTTAATAGTATCTTCCTCATGTGATTGTTGATAGGAATAAGATAATACATGGAAAGCTCTTATAATACTGCTTGATAAATAGTAAGTGTTTAAGCTATTATTATTATACAAGTATAATGGTGAGCATCTGAACCAGTATATGCCATTGAAAACTGTCATTCACAAAATCATCTCTTTCTATTCAGCTCAGAATGATCCGCCTGTTAAATCTGCCTACTCTTAAAGTTAAAGGCTGGGGCCCTGAGTGTTTGACCAATGGGTACATGGGCTCCTGTCTGAGACTGCCGCCTGTGTTTATAAGAATGGACAGAACACACAATTCTAGTGTTGTTTACAATCCTAAGCATACATAATTACCTATAACAGCAATAGTCACTACTATGCACATCACTTACATGGACATACACAAAGAACTTTATTTCTATACTTAAAAGTCCTCTTTAAAAGTAAATAATATTAGTGTTTCTAAATACCGAGTGTGAAATTCATATTGAATCTTAAGTTTTAATATATTCTCAGCTTCATGTTTCTGGCTAAGTTTAAAGTAGTCTAATGCTCTCAGTTTACTTATTAATATGCAAATTTAAAATTTTAATAAAAAGCTTTATAAAAATAAAGGTAAATTTCACCCCCTACATTATTTTATTATGATTGCTTCCTGAATTTGAACTTCAAGAGAGTTGATGACTTTTCTTAAAAATATTCTGAAGTCCACTCTACTCTTTCTATCTCCCTTTTGGGGAGCTATTAATATATTTATTTTCTTGACAGTAAAATGCTATTCAGGTACTCTATGAAGATATACATTTACTTTCATTATAAACCCATCTTTCAGCCATAGTTGTTTTTTTTTTCTTTTTAAGTACTCTCGCCCAAAAAAGAATTTTGAGAGTAAAAATTCTAGCTGCTTCTCTGAGCTAAGACTGTAGTTTTGGGTTTCTTTTCATGCTCAGGACTTTAGGGATACACATAACCACCAAGTAACAGAATAAATGCCAATTTTCCATTTTGGCTTTGCCTTTCTACATAGTAGGCTTTTTTTTGGTAAATCATTAAGCCATAAATTCTAGTTCAAACAGTTCACTTGATTTCTAGTTTGGGTGTTAAAGGGTGATTTGATGTTTTTAAATGATGGTTTGGTTTCTCCATCAATTAAGGTAACATAGGGTAAAGAGTAAGTTACATTTCTGTGACTTTAACACTGACTTGATTTATGTTGGGTTAATTAAATAATTTTTTGTGTCTTCAAGTTCTCCAGTAAAAACTAGGTCATGTGCATAAACTCAGCTTTACTCTATAGAGGAACAGTTAAAAAATAGTCAAAGAATAAGAAATTACAAACATGTCTAACACAGTCTGAACACAAAATGTAGGAACCATATGCTGTATTCCTCTCTGTCTTCCTTCCACAGTGGTTCATGGTACACAAATGTAGCAAAATCAAATAATGTTGAGTTGATGACCTTACCTCAATTTGTAGTATTCCTACCTCAAACTTTCTAAAGGTATGATACCTATGAATAAATTTCTTTATAATGATCTTTAAGAGATGGTCTAAATTCTTTAGTTGTACTGAAATGTCCATATCAGATATTGTTTTTATTTAAGTAAACCACCGGCTGGAGTTTGGAAACCTTTTTCTACTCAAAGCCTTTGTTTTGTTTTGTTTTGTTTTGTTTTGTTTTGTAAGGGTATTTTTTGTAACAGGATTTGACCTGTAACTATTATTGAGAATTTTCTTAGAGGAGTTCAAAGCATTTTACAGGGATCATCTCATTTATCCCTCGAAAGTAAGGCAGAGGCATTATCCCCACTATAAACTGAGAACACTAAAAGGCCAAGATAGGTGGGGTTTTTTGTTGTTGTTTTGCTAAGATCAAAAAGTAATTCTAGGGCAAAGCCAGATTCTGGTCTGACCTTGTTACATGATGCTTCTGCAGCACCATAGTACAATGTAGGAGCTTTCCTAGGTCTCCCCTTGGCTCTCCTAGGTATTGAACAATTTCCAGAGTTGATTTCTCATTCATTCTTGCTCCCTAAAAATGGGTCTTCAGATGTAAATACAAAATAAAACCCTCAAACAGGACTTGGGGTACAGGCTACACAGGGTTAGTCATCTTCCTCCCATCTTACTGCCTAGTCCAGTGCTATGTATAGAAAAAGAATTGGGGCCATAAATGCAAGTCACATGTATAATTTAATTTTTAATTTTTATTTTTTAAAAAGATTTTATTTATTTGACAGAGAGACAGCAAGAGAGGGAACACAAGCAGGGGGAGCAGGAGCAGGAGAGGGAGAAGCAGGCTCCCCACTGAGCAGGGAGCCCAACTCAGGGCTCGATCCCAAGACCCTGGGATCATGACCTGAGCCGAAGGCAGATGCTTAACAACTGAGGTGCCCCTTATTTTATTTTTAAAGATTTTATTTATTTAGAGAGTGAGAGCATGGGCAAGCGGTGGGGGGGGAGGGGCATAGGGAGAGAGAATCTCAAGCGCACTCCCCGCTGAGCACAGAGCCCAATGGAGGCTCAATCTCACAACCCTGAAATAATGACCTGAGCCCAAATCAAGAGTCCATGCTCAACTGACTGAGCCACCCGCGGCCCTCTATAAATTACCTAGTAGTTACATTAAAATATATTTTATTTACCCATTGTATCAAAAATCTTTATCACTTCATGTAGTATGGAAGTATTAAGATAATTAACATGCTTGGGCGCCTGGGTGGCTCAGTCGGTTAAGCGACTGCCTTTGGCTCAGGTCATGATCCTGGAGTCCCGGGATCGAGTCCTGTATCAGGCTCCCTGCTCAGCAAGGAGCCTGCTTCTCCCTCTAACCCTACCCCCTCTCATGTACTCTCTCTCATTCTCACTCTCTCAAAATAAATAAATCTTTAAAAAAAAAAGATAACATGCTTTTTCTTGTATAAGTCTTCAAACTCTGTTGTGTATTTCAAATGCCCAATAGCTACAATGTGACTAGCGGGATGTGTTGGACAGCATGTCTAGACTTCAGTAGGGTTTTCTTAGCTCTCCCTTCAGATCGGTGCCCTTGTGAATGGAAGGGGTGGTGTGGGGGAAGGACTCCTGGGTGACCCTGGAGAATCCATTTGCACTTGTGTGGTAACCAGTAAGAAGCCTTAGGTTTTGCCATTTCCTGATAACATCACTGGGAGTTATGGATTCAGGATCTAGAGGACTGCAGCCTCCCCAAATGTCTAAAATACCAGCTCACTGTCGGGACCGGGTTCCTACCCTGTGGGAGGACCTGGGCAAAGGAAAGTGCCAAGTTCCAGGGCTGCGGTTTCATGGGGCCCTGGGAGGTGGCCTGTGGAAAGGAGGCATCACCCAAGGAAGAGACGGGCTTCTAGAGAGGGAAGGCCACCCAAGTGGATGCTTCTTGAGGGCAGAAGCACTACTAGGTAGATTCCTGGAAGGCGGAAGCTCTTCTTAGGGCCTTCGCCGCCGCCCCGCAGCCGGCCTCACATGCCAGACGAATGAATGCATGTGCTTCCACCCAGCGCTCCCGGCTGTCCTGCCCGTGGGGGAGGGGGTCTGCTCCCTGGCCTGGCCCGCACCCCGCAGCGGCTCCAGGGCCGCGGGTGTGAGGGGCGGGCCCAGGTTCCGGCCCGCGCCGCCCCATGTGACCCGGTCCGACATGGTGTCGCCTCCTCCCGGGGCGGCGGTGGCGGCGGCTCGGCTGTGCTTCGGGCCGGGCCTGCGGCCGCTCATGGGCAGCCAGGGCCACCCGGGGCCGCCCGGGAACAGCGGGCAGGGCGAGGGCGAGGGCGGGGAGGCGAGGAAACTGCAGGGAGGGAGGGTCGCGAGGGGGAAGCGAAGAAAGGGGAAGGGGAAGGGAAAAGCGGGAGCAGGACAGGGCGGAAGAGGAAGCGGGGCGGAAGGGAACCCGGGGCTGCAGAAAGCGAAGGAGGCAGCGGGGCTGGGGGCCGAGGAGGGAGCCAGGGCAGGCCCGGGGGAAGAAGGAGAGGGAGGCGGAAGCGTGGAGGAAGGGGCGAGAAGGATCGTGCGGAGAGATGAGGGGAGCGCAGGGGCGGGGAAGGAGGCCAGAGGAAGAGGTGATGGGAAAAAGGAGGAATGGAGGGTCAGGCCTGGGCGGCGGGAGGACGCGAGGCCGGGGAGAGCGCAGGGACGAGGGGGTCAGGCGTGGGGCTGCATCGCGGGGGCTGGGGCTGCGGGGGTGGCCATGGCGGCAGCGGCCGAGGAGGAGGCGGCGGCCCGGGAGCCGGCCGGCCGCCCCGCTGCGGGGCCGGCGCTCTTGCGCCTGCCGGAGGAGCTGCTGCTGCTCATCTGCTCCTACCTGGACATGCGGGCCCTCGGCCGCCTGGCGCAGGTGTGCGGCTGGCTGCGGCGCTTCACCAGCTGCGACCTGCTCTGGCGCCGGATAGCCCGGGCCTCGCTCAACTCCGGCTTCACGCGGCTCGGCACCGACCTGTAAGCGCCCGCTCACCCGCCCGCTCCCCGCCCTGGGCCGGCCCGCGTCCCGGGAAAGGGCGGGGCGCCGCGGCCTGGTCGGCCCGGGGTTGTGTCGCACCCCGAATGCGAGGCCCAGACCCGGCTTCGGCGGGGACCCCTCCCCGAGCGCCCCTCTCCTGTCGGAGGTTCCCCTCCGAGAAAGCCTCCCATGAGCATCCCTCAGTCGGTACCCTCCTTGGGCGGCTTCTCATAATTAGCTATCTTAAGCACTGCCTTCAGCTTGTAATTGTGTCTTCCCTCGCAGACGGTGACTGGCCAGGTGCCTCAGCCCCCCAAGAGCCAGGCTGGTCTGAGGCTTTGGACGCCTCCTCCGGTCCAGGTGTAGGACCCATATCCACTATGTGGTCTATCAGAACGTTTTTATGGCTATTCATCCACTCACTCTCTTCTGAAGGTTGTTAGGCTGCAGGGCTTAGATAAAATCGAATATGGAGAAAAGGGCTCAGACCTGAAAAGAAGGCTCCTGGTCCAAGTGTCAACCGTAGTTTGACTTGATACAGGCAGAACGACACAAAAAAGTGTTCCTGCTTATGGCAGGGGACTGGATTAGGTCTAGGTGGTATAGAAAGGCATGGTATTGCAGTTTGGCCTGTTTCGGGTAGGATCTGAGACCTGTGCATGAGCTGTTAAATAGGAAGGGGGGGGGGAAGAATTGGGTGAGTAAAAGCTTTTAGATTGCACCTAAAATTCCATCCAATTTGGGTTTTAAAAAAGGTAATTCTAAAACAGTATAACAACATGAGTTTTTTAAAACATAAAACGCTATAATACCATTACCTTTAGACAACTATTCATTATTTAAAATTACTTTTCAGTTGTATACTTCCCCCCCCCCCAGTTGCTGTTTTACTGATCTTGACAGAATAGGTGCATAATAAATGTTTGTAAACTCTACCATAATGAGATTAAAAACATTCTTCTAATATTAAACTTTCATGTTGTGTCCAGATTTTTGCTACTATAGATAATAGTGAAACAAGCAAAGCATTTTTGGGTAACAGCTTTTGAGATATGTCACATGCCACACATACACCTTTTATTTTTATTTTTTTGAGTGATTTTATTTTTTTAAGTTTTTTATTAATATATTATTTGTTTCAGGGGTACAGGTCTGTGATTCATCAGTCTTACACAATTCACAGCGCTCACCATAGCACATACCCTCCCCACTGTCCATCACCAGCCACCCCATCCCTCCCACTCTCCCTCCACTGCAGCAACCCTCAGTTTGTTTCCTGAGATTAAGAGTCTCTTATAGTTTGTCTCCCTCTCCGGTTTTGTCTTGTTTCATTTTTCCCTCCCTTCCCCTATGATCCTCTACCTTGTTTCTCAAATTCCTCATATCAGTGAGATCAACATATGCCTTTTTAAATTAGTTCCTTAGGATAAATGCTCAAGATTGGCATTGTTGGATCAAAGGTTATGGTGTAAAATTGTACTAAGTTACTGTGGCACCAACAAAGAATGATTAAGCCAGTTGCATATGAAAATTTAAAAATCTGTTTTAGTTGGGCATATGATTGTATCCCAAAGTTTTATTTTTTTGCCTTTTTTTTTTACTACAGACCCCAATAAATATTTTCCCATGTGTTTGTTTCACCTGTGAGATCATCTATACCTAGTCTTCGCCAATTTATTATTGGGGTCTTGATGTTTTTCTCATAAATTTGGAATCCTGTAGGTCATAGATATTAGGGTCTCATCTGTCATCTTTGATGCAAATATTTTCCCCAGTCCTTTTTACTTTACTGTTTTTAGCCTATAGAAGTTTTACACTTAAATAAATCAGAATCTGTCAGTCTTTTGTGATTTTTTTCTATTTTTACCCCAAAACTGAGAAATTTACAATTTCTCCACAGACCTGATGAATCTTCTTTTTGATATTCTGTTGGTTTTCTTATATTTGATTTTTTTTTAAAATAACACTTTCATCAATATCAGTTTTGTTCTGGTGCAAGGGTGAATTTAACTTTTTTTTTTCCCTAAGTGGCTACCTAGTTATCACTCTACCTTTTGTTAAACAATTCTTCTCTTTCCCTTTGTTTTAGAAAGCTTATGTTGCCAATTATTAAGTTTATGTGTGTGTACACACACACACACACACACACACACGTATGTATGTACATTTGAACTCCATTTTGTTCCATAGATATATTTTTCCATTTTTCTACTGTTTTAAATATTGTTTTTTGGTAGAGTCTGTTTTCGGTTAGGGTTAGATTTATCCGTGTTGTGTGTGTGTCAGGTCTCCACTCCCATTCAACTCCCCGGCAGAAAAAGATGCTGTGCCTTTGCAAAAGTTTCTGTGGTTTTCACTGTAAAGTTCTCTCTCTCTATATATAGTCAAATTTATTACTAAGTATTCCTATATGTGTTACGCATTTTGTTTTTATTGTGAATGCAGTCTCTTTTTCAGTATGTTTTTCAGCTGGGTGTTACTAATGATGTACAAGATTAGTATAAGCTTTTGTAAATTTTGAACCTGATTACTTTGCTTAACTTTTATTCTAGCATGATTTTGTCTAGTTATCTAGTCAGGTTTGTTATCTAGTATGATGATAATGATTCTTTGGGATCTTTTGGCATGCAGTCTTGTTACCTTCATTTCTTATAAGAAAAATTCTTTCAAAGGACCTATCAGTTGACCTTTAAGGGAAGTTGACTGAAGTGACTGAAACCCAAGCCAGCTAAGGCAAAGCTTGGCTTTCTTTCCTTATAGAGATTGAATGAATGAATCAAAGAATTGATGTTTATTTTTCTTCCCTTTTCAAATGCTCTAAAAGAGAGAGAATGGGAATGAGTGTTCGTTCTGTGAGCAAAAACAACAAAATGAAAATGAGTTTGTAGTATAAAGTGCTTTGAGACTGTTAAGTGATACGGCTTTATTATTTATTAGCCATGTGTGTTTTGATTTCTTGCCCATGTCCTAGGATGGGCTATCTCCGACCTTCTAGGGAAGTTGTTTTACCACAGCACTTGATAAAGAGCAGGGTCACTGCTCATGTTTTCTGAGTTGAGGGGAAAAGTTATGCATGTTACAGCAGGTGGAGAGAATGTTTACCAGTGTGGTCTGTTTCTGGACAGCTGCAGAGACATGATAAGCCACCAAGAGAGGTGGTTGTCATCCCTGGAGGGAGACAGCATACACCCCAGTCCTCATAGGGCGCCAGAGAGCCTGGGCCCAAAGTATGAGACTATGGCTGCTTGGATAGTGGCAGGGCTGTAGTTTATGGTTTGGGCTAATTAACTGCAGACTGGACAGTGGGATGTTTTTATGAGCACAACACAAAACTTCATTTTATCAGAAGTTACACAGCCTCACTGGACCTGAGTTTTATCATCTATAAAGAATGGGAAACACCTACCCAGTAAAATGAGGCTTAAATGTACAAATGTGTACAGAGTTAAGCACATAGTAGGCACTCAATAAAGTGTTGTAAAATGGAACTTTTTAATTGCTTGGCTTGTCTAGTCAGTTTGTATTTAGCAAAAGAGATGGTTTGAATTGGAGGTGCTGCCGAAAGACAGGAGGTGGGGGAAAACACACACACACACACACACACACAGCACTTAGTTTCTCTCACCTGTCCTGAATGCTTTTGGAAGCAGGACAACAGAACCTGTGGGTCTAGGATCTGCACTCCCTGCTATATAAGAGCCTCTTGATTCTCAAAAACACGAACTGCTAAGGTTTACTGACCTTCCGGCCCAGGGCAAGTCCCTTTCAGTTTGGCTGTTCCTAACTGATCATAGCTTTGTTGAGTAAGATGAACTGCTTTGGTTCCTTGTGATTTGTTAATGGTCTTATACTTGTGCTTGAAGGCATTTTGGCCACTTTTAAAATCACAAACAAATAATTTGCTTCCCTTTAGGCCTCTGGCCCAAACAGTGAACATGGGTAGGTATCTGAGCTTAAAAAAAAAAAAAAAAAAAGTGAACACAAAGACAGTTTGAGTCAGTCATCTGGTTCAAAATCAGTTTTCTTTGAAGGTTTTATGAAGCCTGGGGGAATAGAAATATCTTTAATATAAAAATCAAGGAAATGTTTCATATAGCGGTCTTTTAAGTTTTCCCTGAAGAGTAGGGGGGAAACTAACCTGGTTCAGTCTTCAAGAACAAAACAGTGAAATTTAACCCTCTCCGTTTATAATGAAGTTTAGCTAAACGCAAGAAGTAGACGGACAATATGACAGGTGGAAGAGGAGAGGTGCTATCTGTAAGTTCTAATACTGGAAATGAACAAGGGCAAAGAACAGAATACAGTATACCTGTATATATAATCTAAGGGTGTTTTTAAAGATACTTTTGCCAGTCTCATGTTAATTCCTCCCAAATTAAGTCCTATGTTTTCAAACTTGAATTTTATTTTAACCATCCTTTGAGCAATACCTGGGTGCTCCTTTGCATTTACCTGTGGTAGATTTGCCTAGAATTAACAATAGGTATTTAGGAAGTAAGGCTCTGAGGTGTTTGCCCTGGCATGTACATTCATTCCTTAGCCAGGGTCTTGCAGGTTTGGAGCTCTTTGAGGCTGGGGAGCAGGGTATCTATTTCAGTGATGATTAACGTCCAGAGTGGTGAGATGGACACAGATAAGCAGAGTGTGTTTGTTTGTTTTAAAATGATTATACTTAAGAGCATTTTTTTGGCCCAGAAAGCATAAAGTTTCCTTTCCTAACTCTGACCTGGAGAAGGCATTGTTGCCTGGATGCATTTAAGGTCTGAACAGTGATTTTCAGAAAACAATTAGCAACTTAAAGTAGCTTAGGCTTTCTCCTTCCCTTTCTGCCTTACCTAGGAAGGGGAGTCACTTACTTGTTCTCTAATTGATTGAAAAGTTTCATAGGTGGATGTATTATTTCTCTTTAGCTGTTATGAAAAGGCCTTATTTTTAATCGTTTTGTGAGTTAATAAATGTTGAGTTCAGTTTACATGCTTAAAATAAATAATACACCTGT